TGTGTGGAGCCTGCATCATTGTGTTATATACAATGTTTCTTGTATCTTAGATATTCTTCAATAAATAGCTCTATCTTTCAACTAGCATGGCTGGATACTTTCTGGACAGACTTCTTGCATTACATGAGAAGAGTGTTAGTGTCTCGTTCGGTATTTCTAGATATAGATGACTTTTCAAATTCAAAAATCACTTTCCAGCATTTCCGCTTGGAAATTATTTTGTTCTTGCCGCAGTATTAACCACAGTACCAACACTCCAATTCAAAGGGAATTTTTTTTTTTTTTTTTATAAAGCACACGGTATCTGTACATCCCTGAGTCTTGGAAAAATGGCCCTCATCTGTGCCGCAGGGGCTTAGCTACAAAATCTTATTACTTTCTCTCTTTGATCAAAGAAGGCAGCCATCAATTCTTCTTAAGTCGTTTCTTAAAGTCATAGCTGACTTTAAGAATGTTTATTTCTTAATCCAGAGGTTCCTGACTCACAAATATGATTTACTTATAGAGACACAATAGCTAGGAGAGCATTACGAAATTTTACCAAATTAAGTGTCTTTATAAATTGCTTTTCTACGTACACGATTTTTTAATTTGCAGGAAAAAAAAAGAACAAATAACTGACGCTTTGCTACAGGGCACTTCATTCACACTTTTCCCAACTGTAGTGAAAAATAGCCAGCAAACTAGTAACTATTATTTTTTTAAGATTTCATGGTCATGAGGTTAAAACATTTTGTGATAAATGTTTATGCAAGTTATGTCAATATATTAAATTTATTGTAATTAAATATAAAGACAGTAACACTTAAAGTTATTTATACTTATTAGTGAATGCAATGCATATGAAAGAGACTAGTCCACTTTTTAGTTGAAAATATATGAAGCTTGTAAAATTCATAACTTTATTTCCTTGGACCAGAAAGTTTCCTTATACTCTGACACATGGGATGACACATTAAAAAGATCATTTCTATGAGGATTTATTATATATAAGATTATATTTGCTGTAGGCATGCTACATTATATTGTATATATATTAAATTGAAATATATTATATTTCAGAAGTTTACTGGCTTCTGAAAAAAAGTGAAAATATGAACCAATTTGTATTATACTATTTTGTTTGATGTTCTTTAAGCATGCAAGCAGTATTTACAGCTAGAAAAATCTATTTGTGCTTATCACCAAACCCTCCAATTTTACAAACGAATCAACTAAATAGATATATTCACCTTTTACTCTCTAATTGGATTGTAAAATACATTAGTCAAAGAATGCATTTAGAAATATTGCTAAATTAGAAATCATGTAATAAAAATGTATTATGCAATAAAATATGGGAATTAACTTTTATTACTCTGTGAGATCTACAAAGGACATTATTATTCACCTCTAATTTCCAGCCTCATTGCAGTGACTTCTCTGAGATTTCTTCAATAACTGTTTATGAAGTGCTTAATTCAACAGCTTTGAGACACTCTATAAGCACATATTTATACAGAAATTTGATGAAGTCATCTTATTTATTTTATAATAAAATTGTATTTCAAATAGTTCTAAAGTATGACAGTATTAAGAAATTCTTTATATTGGGCATATCTGATTTCCCCTATTATTATCACACATTAACACCGTACATTTGTCACAGTCGATGAAAACCTATAGATATCTTATTATTGACTAAAATCCATATTTCATTCAAATTTCCCACCTAATGTTTCTTTTCCTTCCAGATCTCCTCCAGGATATCACATTACATGTAGTCCTCATGTCTCTTTAGGCCCCTCTTAGCTTTGAGAGCTTCTGAGAGTTTTGGGCTGGAAGTCTGATATCAGGGTACCAGCATGGGCCAGTCCTGATAAGGGCTGTCTTCCTGGCTAACAGACAGTAGTTTTCTCACTGTGACCTCACATGATAGGGAGAGAGATTTCTTTCTCTTCTTACAAGGCCACAGTCTAACGGGCCCGAGCCCTACCCTGATGATTTCATTTCACCTTACTTACCTCTCAAAGACTCTGTATCCAGAGATAGTCACATGGAGGGTTAAGGTTTCCAAATATGAAGTTAAGGAAAACACAGTTCAATCTATAGCAAGTATTGCTAAAGTATTCTGTTTGCTGTCTCTTAATTGAGATTTCTTGGTATTTTCCTTATTACTAGATTAGAGTTATATGTTTTGGGGAGAAAGTAAACAACGGTGATGTGCTACTCTATATCATATCTTTACCAATGTTGATGTTAACTTTGCTCACCTGGCTGAGGCAATTTAAAATGTTGAAATAAAGTATCAAAAGTTTAAAACTAGTCATTAAAAATCAAAATTGAATGGACTTCCAATTGTTAAAGGCAATTATCTAGTATGCTGCTAGATATACCTAGATTTATAAATATAAAGACTTAATTTTGAGTCTGTACCCACTTTTTTCCTTATTTTTAATTGTAGGTGGAACCCCTTATATGTCATCAAAAACAATAATGCTTGCTTAAAAAATAGTCACAATGTGATTGAATAGATAGACTATTTAAATTACAATTTAAACAAGTCTCAAGTGGTACTCCAGAGAACCTTGAGCACAGACCTTGCAGATAGTCTAAGGGTCTTAGGGCTCTTTACGTCACGTAATTATAGATGTTTCCAACCAAGACTTAGAAAAATGTTTTTAATCTCAGCCATTTCAAAAATAGGATAAATTGGCATACTCTCTGTTGTCTGTGCTTTTAATTCTTGACATTAGTACTAAAACACACTTAGCACAAAATAGTATTTAAATATTTTTTAAATTAATGTAATGCAAATGAATCAATAGCACTAAAGATCTTAGGAATTTTATATCCAACCTTAAATTTTTTTAAACATTATTTTTTGCACTGGCAGGGGAACTGGTTTGGTTAGATCACTGTCTCAACATGCCAAGGCTGTGGGTTTGGGTTAGATCTCAAGTCAGGACAAATAGAGAAATCAACCAATGAATGCAGAAAGAAATGGAACAAGACAATGTGCACTCGCTCGCTCTCTCTCTCACCGCCCCCCACCTCTATGTCTCTCTAAAAATGAGTAAGTAAAAAAAAAAAACCCTAATAATTACATTATTTTCATTAGGAAACCATGTAATTTCATATGATCTATTTTTTTTAAAAAAAACTTAAAATTTAAAAGAAGAGTTATTTGGTAATACACTTTTACAAGTGAGCATTATTGATTTTAGTGTAATTTAAAAATAATATTAGTAAATGCTTTTCCCTAAAAATTATCTTGATTTACCATTATTTGACAATTTCTATTCATATTTTTACTCAAATCTAAGACACACACACTCAAACATGACAGAAAAGAAAGCTCACAGTTTTAAAGAATGCTCTAACTGGAAACATTGCATACAATTTCCACCTTCCCTAAGAATTCTACTTTTCACTTTAGGAGCAAAATCTTATATCTGAAAAATGTACAATATAAACATTTGAATAGTTTATTATGTTATTTATTTTTAATTTCAGAGCTTTTGAACTAACAGTTGAGCTGAGATATAGATTTTAGTTTCATGCCCTAGGCTTCCAGCTAAGCCAAATCTATTTATGCTAACGATCTCCAGCAGCTGCACTCTGCATTATCGGAGGCTTCTGGGAGGCCTTCCAAGGGAAATCCAAATAGAGCATATTGCAGCGATCTCGTGTGAAGTGCTGAAAATAATGTCCCACCTGCAATGATTTCTGTGCCACAGAAAATATGGTAGCTACACTGTACTCAAAGAGATAGAGATGGGTAAGGCAGAGAGAGCACGATAGAAAGCGAGAGAGGATGGAAGGAAGCAGAACTAGTGATTCTATTTGTTTCCAAAAGTCGATTCATCTTCCTTTTGTGTGTATCCGTTGGCTTATTAACCACAATGCAAAGTGATTGGCTGTTGCCTCAATCACCTCCGCCCACCAAGGTTCCCATGCTTTCCCATATTCTGCCTCCTGCCATTTATGGCTTTCTATGATGTGAGTAGCAGCCCATGGAAAGAACTAGAGTGAACCATACAACACCACTGTTACTAATGAGCTTAAAAAGCACAGTCCATGAAAATACTCTGGTTCTGCAAGACACAAAGGAGTGGAAATTTTACCACCTATCATTCAAATGATAAATGAACACACCGAACTATTTCTGGGACACATGAACAGCTAGAGCTGGAGAGGGTTGTTCAGAGGGACTGAATCAATGAAACCACCACTCATGAAAAATGACTGTGTTGCTGTTCTTTATCAGCATTAATGGTGCTTAAAATGCATTCTTGAACATGCACATATGCTTACACTTGTACAGAGATATGAATGCATTTGCTCTCCCTAGGTATTTTTTTTTAGCCAACAGATTAGTGCAAGTGACTTCTGCAGTTCAGCTTCATAACTTTTTCTAATAAAATTGAAAAAGTTTTGTTACAATTTGACAAGTGATTTTATCTGCAGAAAACCCTTGGAACCTTAACAATTCTTTACATAGAGATGTGCCAAATACTTGAAAATAACTTAGGCAACTGACAGACTATTTTACTTTCATGTTTAAGACATGGCCTTTAGTCATTTGCTTTCTCTTCCCGGATTTGAATAGCTTAGCCAGGAAATTGCTATGACAATGATACAAAATTCCATCTGAAAGGCTCTTTAAATAAAATAAAAGAGAAAAAAGGTCATTGTGACTTATTTATTACTTAATACAAAGGATGATGGAAATGTCTTTTAGACTACTTAATATTTTCCAAAATGTATGTCTTTCATGAGAGGCTCTTTTCAGGTTTTGATTAATTTTAGTATATATTTGAAGATCAGCTTTAGAAAGCTGAGTTGTTGTCTCTTTTTATAAGATAAAAGCTAATAGACAAATATCTCTGTGGTTTATGTGAGTAAATGACAATTCATAAAAGAAATAAGGTAGGTAAAATGTTAATATATACCATGGCTCAGCTCTACTGGTGTTTTCAAAATTAACCTTAAAGGATTATCTTTTTTTTTCCCCTTTGAAAAATATGTAATGCTTCATGAATTTGTGTGTTATCCTTGTGCAGAGCCATGCTGATTTCTGTATCATTCCAATTTTAGTATATGTGCTGCCAAAGTGAGCACTAAAAGATTATCTTTAATTCACATGCAGGTAAGCTTTTAACCATTTTTTATTACAATTTTTTTTACAATATTTTTTACAATTCTTAATATCTTTACTGTTTATTCTACTCATTGCATTTTGAAGAAAATCAATATTAATTGCTTAGTAATAAATTCCCCAAACTATAAATGTCTTGTTGCAATAGGGACTGAGAAAAGGTGTCATGAGGTTTTATACAAATACAAGCATGATTTCAAGCTTCTGATGACATGAGCTAAGAAAATTAGTCTTCTACTTCATTTTGTTGTTATCATTTGGGAAGGGGAAGGAGGGCCTGTAATGATAAGCAGCTACAAATGCAGAACAAATTAGTCATGATAACTAGCTGGAAGAATAATATTGTGGGTGATGCATACCACGAACTTTGTTTGGAAATTTTGTCCTTGCGAATATGTACGTATATAGTTTTACAAATGTGAAAAGAAAGGTTGTCCTTAATTCAACCTTGGGTATCTTGAAAGACAATGGTATAAAGAAAACTAAACAGCATGTTTTAATTATATGTACTAGACATCAAGAGAAGCTTTTCTTTTAGAACAAGGCTGCAGGGTTTTGACTCACAGATTTTTCATCTATTAGAAGGTTGCCTCACATAAATTAATTTCTCAGTGTTGATTTTATATGTAATAAGAGGAAAAATAATACTAAACTCAATAAGGTTGTTTCAAAGGTTAATTTAGTTAATATTTATGACAAATAGCTGCTACAAAATGTGTTCAGTAAACATGACCACTTAATATTGTATGAGAAGCATAGACAAACTAAGATGAGCTGATAATCACTAACATTATTGTTTTTCTTTTTCACAGTTAGGTATTGTCATTGAGAAAAATTTGCCCAGCTAGGGAGTAAATATATTTTCCCCAGCCTTTGATGGAATCTAGAAGGGCCTGCTTGACTACAAAGAAGTGTAACCTTTGGTACTAAGACAGATAAAAAAAATAAGTTGTCCTTCACCACCACCATCTTTCCTTTTTGTTTGCAACTGAGATTCCATGGATTGATGGAGCTATAGGACAGAAGGAAGGAATCTTGATCCCCACATTACAAAATACAGAAAAGTCATTTCTGAATCAGAAACCACCATACTGGATAAGAAATAACCCCCTAGGACATTAATTCACTGAAATTTTTGGTTAGTTACAACATCTAGATTTACCCCCAATTAGTTAAAAAAGTTCTCTTACTTACATTCTAAATGACTTTTGCCTGGAACTTTAAAAGCACAAGTCAAGAGAAAAATAATAGAACATATGGCCTGCCTCCTCACAAAACTGAAAGTGCCTTACTCTCATTCTCTTGTAGTTCTTTTTGTTATTAGTCTATTTTCTTTTCTTGAATAATACTGTTTATATGCTCCAGTGAAAGTACAGCAAAAGCAATGTGGATCTAGGTTACAAAATGCATAACCTGTTAGAGGTACTGCTTTATCTTGTGAAATGATATTGATTAAGGGCATCAATATCTTGGTTTTAAGTTGTTGTGGTAGTTGTGCGATTTTTTCATTCTTTCTAAATGTTATGCTTAACAGGCTCGCCTGTGACGTTCTTGTTTATCCTAACAATAGCAGAAAAATTTGGGGGGAAAATAGGACACAAGAGAGATTTGAATTGGAATATGTAAGGCTGTGAAAGTTTGACTAAAATTCATCAGTTCCAGGGCAAAATTAGAAATGGAGAAGATTTTTCTTTTTTCTTTTTTAATTTTTTAAAATGTTAATATATCTGAAACCGGGGGAGTTTCCAGTTTTTGCTTTGTTTTGTTTTTGTTTAGGAAAAAGAAAAAGATTTCTAATTTCTTCCCAAGATTTATTTTTACTCAAGAAATGAAATATTGACAAAGAGAAGAATTTCATATTGTATTCTCCCTATTATGGGGGATTTTATATTATTTCAACTGAATTGTTCTCATTAAACTCTTGTCTATAACTGTGACTACAGACAAAAGTGGACATTAGAGTTAACCAAAATTTATTTGGGAAACAAGGAAATTAGGAAAGGGAATTGTCTATTTGTCTCTCACTTTATAATAAACTACTCTGACATATAGCAGCCTGAATAGCAAACAATTATTGTGTCACATGATTGTCTGTCAGGAATCCTAAAGTGACTTATTTTGTGGTCTGGCTCCGGTCTCTCCGGAGACCTATCGCCACAGTGACACATAGATCATCAGAAAAGAGTCTGAATCCCAAAAGTCAGGGAAAATCAGAGGCAATCTTAATGCCTGGCTATTAGTATTCTCCACCTGGTGAACGCTTCACGGTCTCACCACATGCAGAGTGCACTCACCCATTCTCTAAGAACCCGGAAGTTTCACGTCTCATCAATTACTGCATGAACTCTAAATCTAGAATCTCATCATTCAAATTAGGTCGAGGGGTTATCAAGGCTCCCTGGTTATCATACCTTAAGTATAAATTCTTAAAGACAGCTCCTCTTGATCTGCAGGTCTGTGAAGAAAAAATTTAGCACCTCTACCATCTTTTCAACCAATCAAGCTGCAGTTTGTTTTATAACCTAATATCAGAAGGGACATATCATTACTTCTGCTGTATTCCGTTGACCCTGTAGACTAAATCTGGTACAATCTGAATTTGGGAAGGGAATACAGAAGGGTAAAAAGGGAAGCAGGAACCACTGAGGGACATCTTAAAAACTGACAAACACAGGCAGAAACTCTGCTTTGTGTGTGAAACATCTTTCATGACAGCTTAATTAATTTCTTTACTACCCACATTTCAAAAACTCCCAAATATAACACAAAACAATGATCTTTAAAAAGTAACTTTGGGAATATTTTCCTCATGTTATGTCCCAAAGTTATTTAGAAATATGGTGTTAATTACAATGAAATAAAATGTTTTAGGGTAACTTAAGAAAAGGAGATAGAAATCCCTTTTTTTCATGCACATGAATCTATCCCTCATCTCATTGTTTGCTAAAAAAAGAAGAGAATTACAAAAAACTTTTAACTAATTTATTTTTATTGTGTTAAAAATACATATAACACTATTTTAACCATTTTAAAGTACAAAGTTAAGTAGTATTAAGGATATGTACATTGCTGTAAAACAGACTTCCAGAACTATTTCATCTTGCAAAATTAAAATTCTTTACCCATTTAAAAATAGCTCTCTCTCCGGCTGCCAGCTCTTGGTAACCACTATTCCATTTTCTACACCCATAACTTTGACTACATTAGATATCTCATGTAAGTGACATCATGCAGTATTTTTCCTTTATGACTGGATTATTTCAGTTAGAATAATGTCCTTTTATTTCACCATGATGTAGCATGTGATTGAAATCCCTTCCTTTTTAAGGTTGCATAATAGTCCATTGTGTGTATATATGACATTTTGTTTATCAAATTATCTGTCAATGGACATTTAGTTTGCTTCTACTTCTTGGCTATTGTGATAATGCTGCTATAAACATGATTGTACAAATATCTCTTCAAAATTCTCCTTTTAATTCCTTTGCTGTATATACAGAAGTGTGATTTCTGAAACATATCATAATTTTATTTTTAATTTTTTGAGGAATTGTCATACTTTTTTCCCATTGTGGTTGCACATTTTTTATAATTTCACCAACAGTGCACAAGTGTACTAACTTCCTCACATCCCTTCCAACACTTGGTATTTTCTTTTTCAATAAAAACCATCCTTACATGTATGAGGTAATATATCATTGTGGTTAGGATTTACATTTCACTGGTGATTCATGAGGTTGAGCATCTTTTCATATGCTTGTTAGCCATTCATATATCACATTTGGAGAGATGTCTGTTCAAGTCATTTTTCCATTTTTTAATCAGGTTATTTGATTTTTAGTATTTAAATATAGGAGCTCATTAGATATTGTGGATATTTACATCTTATGAGATATCTGATCTGGAAACATTCTTTTTCATTCCATAGGTGGACTAGTTTTTATTATTGTTTTCCCTTAATGCACAAATGTTTTTGTTTGATGTAGTCCCATTTGTATATTTTTCCTTTTGTTGCCTTTACTTTTAGTGTCATATCTAAAAAGAAAATATTATCAAGTCCAATATAATAAAGCTTTTTCTCTATGTTTCTTCTAGTTTTGGGTCTTACATTTAAGGCTTTAATCCATTTTGAGCTAATTTTTGTATTCACTGTAAGAAAGAGTACAGACATTCTTTTGATATAGATACTCAGTTTTCCCAACACCATTAGTTCAATAGATTGTTCTTTCCCCATTGAGCTTTCTTTTCACAATCATTGAAGATCATTTTATCATATATGTAAAGATTTATTTCTGGATCATCTATTCTTGTCTACTGGTCTATATATTTTTCTTTATACCAGTACCAACCAGTTTAGATAACCTCAGTTTTGTAATATATTTTGAAATCATGACATGTGAATTCCCATACTTTGTTCTTCTTTTTCAAAATTGTTTCATTGTGTTGGGATTCCTTGAGATTCCATATGCATTTTAGGATTTTTTTTCAATTTTTGAAAAAATATGTCATTGGGATTTTGATAGTGATTGTGCTGAATCTGTAAGTTGTTTTGGGTATTATTGACATCTTGCCAATATTAAGTCTTTCAGTCAAAGAACACAAGATGCCTTTCAATGTATCTTCTTGATTTCTTTTTAAGTTTCTTTCAACCATGTTTTCCAGTTTTCAGCATACAAAATTTCCACCTCCTTGATTAGATTTATTCTATACTTCGAATGCCATTTTAAATGGAATAGCTCCTTTAACTTCCTCTTCTGAAGTTTGTTGCTAGTGTTTGTTTGACTGGGTTTTGTGTGTGTATGTGTGAGTGTGTGTTGATTTTGTATCCTGTAGCTTCATTGAATTTATATACAAGTTCTATAGTTATGTGTGTGTTGGTGTGACTTCAAGTGTTTTATATATATGTAAGATCATGTCCTCTGTGAAGAGATAATTTTAATTTTTCATTTCTAATTTGGATGCC